TCAGACAACCGGTTGCAGAACGTTCCTTCAAACTGTCGCGTGCATTAATTTAACGAACGCCGGGCCGCGGTGATTCGCGGTCGGCCGACATTTACGGGCTCGACCATTTAAACTTCCCTGAATAACAGTTTCGGAACGAGCTGTCGCGTGAACTTGACGCTTTCGCCCCGTCCGGCTCGACGATGGATTTTCAACCCAGACGCTCGTTTCCCGTTAATTGCAAATATTGCACGAACGTGCACGCGACTTAATAACACTGGTAAAAATAACTAAAATTAGAAACCAAATAATAGTTTCGATTAGTACTGTAATCCCCCGTTGTAACGAACCAAATCGGGCCCGCGTAGTTGCAGAATTAGGTTCCAGCCCCCTTTCTTGCGAATCTAATAATTTCAAAAGATATTTCGAAAGACGAGATCGTGAAACAACAATTTTCCGTGTCCCTATCGAGCAGAATTTTCCCCCCGCCAATTTTCCGCGCGATAAATTTTATTCGACCAATTAAAGAACGTTCGCGAGAGGGCGACGGGTCAACCAGGGTGAATTTTTATGCGAGGTATATTAAAATGTAAACGCCGTTTAATTTGCCCCGGTCGGATCGAGACGGGTTACGAAATAGAAAATGGAGCACGAGGAGCGCCGTCGTCGCGATATTTTCCATTTTCCAGGAGCGCGAACGCGAACAGGGACTCGAAGGTAATCGCTGGAGAAAAATCGACTTCGAGGCGGTATCCGTAAGATCGGAGACGAATTCCCTTTATATCGGGATTCGCGGTAATGCCGTTCTTGCTTCCGTGGAAAACTCCTCGCGATACAATGAAGAAAATTTCAACCGGAACACGACGGGTACCCGTCGCGTCTCGGGCTGTAAATTCAGAGTGGATCCTCCGATTTAGTGCCGTTCTCGATATGCGGATAATACTCGTACAATAATGTCGATAAAGAAACCACGGGGAACGGGGAAGGATTATCGATAAACTTTCCAGCCGTTGTACTAATAGCGAAAACGTTACATTACGTTACGTTAAAATGCTTTTCGATGCTTTCCTATAAAATTTGAATTTTCTTGGGGGAGGGAAAAACGATCGATGCAAGCGGTAATTTAAATAATAATATTTGCAATAGTTTTTTTTGAATATTGTAAAGAATGGAAAATTTTTCTGGATTCTTTGGAATACGTAAGCAACGTTAAGAGAAATTATGCGAAAAACCCAGGAGATATTCGTCGATTGTGGGGACTCGGCCGTCGGACGAGGGAGAACCGAAGAAGCTCGAATCGAATTCTAAAGCGGATTTCAGTATCTCGTAGATATTGCAATAACGAGAATCGTTTGCGTAGAAACTGCTGCTACAGAGGGTGATATCGACGTCGATCGGTAATAATTATCGGCGAGCGTATGGAGGGCTCGAGGAACCCTTTAAGCCACCGGGGAAAAAAGGGACGCTCGTTAAGCGGGAATTGAATCTGAACTCGGCAAGAAATTGAAATCGAGTCTACTTTATTTCTCGATTTAGGGGGATTCCGGGAGACAAAAGCGGGAGCGATGCTCTCTCACGGGGAGAGTAAACTTTAGAGCCGTGCGCTGATATTGCGCGTTTGGCTTCAATCCGGGGACGTTCGACTTTCTGGAACCTTCATCATCTGGAATCGATAAGAATCGTACGACGTGGCAACTGTCGGAGGAGTATTTTCAAAAAATTGGGTGCACTCGTCCAACATTCTCTGTTGAGATATTTGTCTGATAGACGAATGATAAGAATGATAAATTCGAACAACTTAACTCGACTGTCGGTGTTTGAAATTATCCTTTAAAGAGACGAAAGAGAAGCGCAAGGGGGCATCGAGCGAAGCGCATTTCGCATTCTACCCGTGCTCCCAATTTCCTTTCTGTAGCAACATCGCGAATTTACAAAACAACCCCGTCGAACTTGGCCAAGCGTACACGAAAAGCAAAAACACAAGTAGATCGAAGCACCTCGGGACACGTGCTGTTCGCACGGTCCAACTTCCCGACCACTCACCATCCTTGCGCCAAGATCGGAGGAGGACAGAAGGTAACCAGTCCCTGCACGCTTCCCCAGGAATGTTTTCATACGGAATCAGACCCGGGTCGCCCCCGGGTGGACCGAACAGCCGCAGTTACATGATCGTCCACCGCCACTGGATTCAATCTACCGGGATTATCCAGCCACCCCCCGAACGGGGGCGGCCATCGTGCTTCTATCCAGCCACGATCGGAAGTCCGTAGCCTCTGTCAACTCACATCTTTTGCCGCGTCGCGCCAGACTACCCTAATACTCGACTCTCAGCTACGGGGAAAATGAACCCCCGATACGTACAGGGTGTCGAGAAAGTCGAAGCTTGACGATTCCCAGCAAAAATGTCTCGAATTTACAAGACTGACCTCTTCTAATATAGTCTGAAATTTGTTTAAAAAGTTGTACTATGAATTTTCGTCACCGCCATGGGAAGAATTCCAGGTGGTTTAACGAAGGAATAGGATTACGCGAGATCGGTTTGCGTGGACTTAAGCTATCTAATGGAGCATAGAACAGGGAAGAGCGCAGGTAAAAGGGCCAGGTTTCCCTCTGGTGGATTTAGAGTTTGTAGTTGGAGACCTCTAATCCGTTTAGATCTTCTAGTCGAGCCTTTAGCGAATCTAGAGCTTGCGGTTGCGATCTTCGGTGGGTTTAGAGTGCCTAAATTGGACCTCAGGCGGCAGAATTTTATTCGAATATTAATTCGATCCTAAGAACCGACTCCACGTTGATGTATTTTTAAAAAGCGATGCTTGATTTTTCTGAGGTTTGGTTGTAATTTTTCTGAACACTCTGTATAGGATGCAATAGCAACCGTGGTACCTCGGAGGGGTTCCGTTGAATGCGTGCTTCCGGGGGAGATTGGCAGCCCTGCAGCAGGTCTTGGGGTTGCTTTGAGCCGCGACTCTCTAAGAAAAGGAGGATCTTGGGAAGCGTGTTGAGTGGTTTCCTTTTTTTTTTTCTTTTCCTGTCGGAAGGGAAATGTGGTCTTTGAAGGGCGATGTAGATGGGCGATCGACGAATAAGGAGGTTGTTATTTCGCAGAATGGTCGCTCCCTGAAAGGGAGAGTGTTTTGCCATGGTCAAAGTATTATTGACCCAGTAATTCCTCGAGCTACTAACAATTTTATGCTCAGCGGAGTTTTGACTCCGTAACGAAGTTATCTTTTCGTACGACGTGAGCTTCGAGGGCCCCCAGGAAGAATTTCCCTTTGGCGGATATTTAAATATTGATGCGAGGAAGCTTCTTTCCGAATAAGTATTGATCCAGAAGGAAAGCAGGATCTTTTGATAAAAATTGAGGTTCTAAATATTGATGGCCACAGAAAGGACTCGAACAGCGCAAGGTCGTAAGAAATTCCGGTAAAAGTCGACGGTCGAGTTCCGAAATTCTTAATATCGTTATCGCGTTTCAATAATTCAAACGTTTCGAGATTCCCGTAACGCGCGCATATAAACTCGCCAGAAGAGTTTATGCAAGTTTTAACGACTCGTGTACGTTACCAGCGTTTTCCTCGGCCAAGTGTTTCGATTAAATAGTGTTTCAGAAAAGGATTTACGGCCCGGTTGTTTTTGCAGCCGTTACGAGATTCTTCTTTTCCACGGCGGCGGTAAAGTTGAAATATATGTTGAACCCCGCCGGCGAATACAAATCCGCCATTTGTTTCCGGGCCTTCCCGTTCCTGCTGCGCAACTTTAGAGTTTACGAAAAGACTGGTCATCGGATCAACGACGGAACTTGTAAATTATTCGAACTTGGAAAACGCGATTTACGAATTTCTACAGATCGCCTTATTAGACTAAATCCTCTGTTTTACAATTAGGATTCGAGTTTCCTGCGACTGAAACCACAGAAACTTGTGTGCCTTGCGTTAAGGATCTTAAGCTCTGCAATTTCCAAGCAGCTACGTTCCCCAAAGCATCGAAAATTAAATTCTCTAAAAAATTTACTAAATCCTCTGCATTAAAAATCACCCACAGGTTCAAAGAATCATGGCTCTCGGAGTTTCGAGCGTTGAAAATCCTAAACGGTGATCGAGTCTCGCTCTGGGAATCCCCCGAACCGAGTCCCAACGGTCAGAGATTCCGCGTGGCCGAGTTCCAAGCGCTCGAAATCGAAACAATCCGGACAGTTTGCATCGAAAGTTTATCCCGAACAACAAATGCAACGTTTCGGGCCGTCTGTTGCTATTTAATTCCACGCGTCTTCGTCGAGTCACGTGGCGTTGAGCAATTAACGCTGTCGCGTCGTCGCGTGCTCGGCATTATCGAGGATATTTCGAAACCGACGATGTTTGCCGCTGCATAGCAATGCACGGAAACGCAGCCACAAGTCATGCGACGCCCGCGAAAACTTGGCACGATTACGGGACCCGGAAGCCGTTTTTCTTGCTCGGGTTTTGCCGTGAACGCGAACTGCTTTGGGATCTCGAGCTTCGTGCGTTTTTACGTTCGCTGGTCGGACTCTTGTTCGAGTGTCTGACACGAGAGATTTTTTGGAATTGAAATTGGTTCTTGGATCGAGGCATTGGAAACTTCTACTTTAAATTAATGTTTGCTTGGAGACACGTGTGTCTCTGTACTATTGGGAGAGACGAAACGATAGGCACAACTAGTATTCGTTCGCGAGAAGTTGGGCTCTAGTGGGAGTGTACCTCGCTTGCTCCGCCCATCCCAAATTTTAGAGTGAGGATTTAGGTAACAAACAGATTCTTTTCACATTCTTTTCACCTATTCACTTTAAACCTATTGTATACAAAGTTAGATGAGGGCAGGACACATCAGTAAGGCCTAACCTGGCCCTGCTTTAGACGCTGGGGCATTCAATGGTCGATGAGTGTAATAAGAACAGGAGTTCTCTGCTCTACAACAGATACAAAATTCGTAGTTAATTAGCGAAACACGATCCTAATTTATTTAAGACGAAATTCTGATCTCGCGTTGGCGTTTCTGTGTTCCAGGTGTCCGGATAAGCGAATTCCGCAAGATGACTGACCCGGAGCACGATGGAATTATCGTCGAGGACCCGAGGTCGCCGGACCAAACGCGATTAAATAAAAACCTCTGAACGAGGAAGTACCCTCTCTGTAATTACGAGACGTCGAGGAGTGGGTGGACCGGGGCGAATTCGAACGACGGGGTCGGCGAGAGGATCAGTGAAATGCACGGTCTGCCGTGAAAATGCTGGTCGACGACTGCGGCAGCGGGATGGGGTGGACCTCGGCCAGCGTTCGCGGCGGTTGGTCCACCCCTGGAGGGTGCAGAAATTCCGCGATGAGCTTCGGGGGTAGCGTGCCCTCGCTGCACGCTGCCGGTTCGACAAGATCGCTGCGATCCCAGCACTCCATGCAGGTAATAAAAACCGTTGGCTTCAGCTCGTTTCGCTCGCGGCCACGAGCATTCTTCTGGCCGAACGCCGCTATTAGGGCGCCATGGAAAATATACTCTCCTCTTTACTTTTCACGGGGGGAGGGGTTTTTTTTTTCATTTTTTTTGTTGCCGAACGAACATCGATCAGACGGGGGACAATCGTCGCTTTTAGGGACGGCGTGACCTTTGGTCGAAAATTGTCTCCGTTCGATGCACTCTGTAATTTCCAGTCTTTTGTATTCTATAATGTTTACGAGTTCTGTGACTTCGAGTCGTGGATCGACGACTATAGTATTTGCGATAGAACGTGTTAACGGTATCTGAATTATTCACTGAACAACGTCGCACAATGGTCGACGGGGACGCTAATTTTCGAGGAAGGTTGATCACGGGCCTATAGAATATGCACTTATTGGACATAGCGTACGGTAATTACCTCGACGAGGGCTTAACCGCCATTGTACATGTACCGCATACCCGAGGTGTCTTTCATTACAATTCCTGTTCCAAAGCGTGGATGCACGTATCGAAACGTGGTAATAGTAAAATGTTACCAAAGGACCATCCAGGAGAAGCCCTAACTAATTTTACTAACCGAATTCAGACTAGAATAATCGAATATTTCTTGTATTTTAAAAATCTACTGTTCGAACGAATTTTAATATGTAAGGAACGAACGTAGGGGGAGGGTGATTGAATCGTAGGGGCGAGAAATCGATGTTCGTTCACGGTTACCATTCGCCTCGGGGTCGAATCGTTAATCAGGCCCGCGAGAATTACTCGCAGCATTCGTCCCCTAATCGGTATTCCATTTGCGACACTTTCCACCCTCGATAAATTCAACGGCGTTTAATTTCCAGAATACGACCGTCCCCCGTCCGGGATTTAACGCGACTCGATCGGCCCATTGTGTTTCCTACCGTGCGTTGCCAGGACTTTCTTTTCTCCTCAGGGCGTGCCGGAGACACCGCGAAGATGCATACACTGCCACCCGGTACACGTGCCGAGCACCCCGAACAATTACATCCACCACCCTATGCAGTATTACACGCCGAGTCATTGCCCCGAGCCGAGGAACGGCGTCTACACTCCACACCGGGGCAGCTCTTATCACGGCGGTGAGTTACGGTCACTTTTCAATTAGTATAAATCAGGCGTCGCGCGTGGGAAAATTAGGGGATCGCTAATCTTCTACGAGGGACCGAAGAAATCAACCCCCCACTATCGGTTCGAGCGTTTTTTCTTTTATCTTCTAATGGAGATCATAGCAGGAGGAGGCCACGGATAATGAGACTTTAATGCCTCCGCGACAACAGAATTCAAGGGGGTAGCTGAAAATTGATTACGATGATCGTTTATGATAGTCGAAGACTCCGGAGACTCGAGGGGGAAAACCACTGTGACGAATTGAAAAAATCTTTTCAATGCTTGGGAGTTTAAGAATAACCCCAAAAATGCATGTCTTATAGTTTAAGAAAATTGCATGATTTCACGTTCGCCCGTTTCTAACAAATTTTTGGAGGCTTCTCACGCTTGGTCCTGTTATGGCTATAATAATTAACATTTTTATACGAAATTTTTACAAGCAGTAGTTCAAAAAATGCACTTTCGAAAACATTAAATATTCATCGGAAAAGTTTTGAATATTCCCTTTATTTTCAGCCGTCACAGTGATTTCCTCCCCTTAATTTCTGAATCTTGAAATTTTATAGCGACGACAAATCGAGTCGAACGACTCTAGAATTTTGTCAGCGTGTCTGAAGACCCTGTTTATCCCTGCAGGGATTCCAAGTCTCAAGAGTCTGCGTTAAAACCGAATCCCTCGACACTTGATGTCGTCGCTACCGAATCTCATGACACTAAGAGCTGTCTCTAACGAACCCTGAATTTCTGGGGTTGTTTATCCGCGAGTTTCAAGTAGTCCGTGTTCTTCCTGCCGTCTACAAAGAATTTTGTTCAAATTGAAGTTCGCGGAACTCGATATCTCGATATTTTAAAGAATTTCCTATGCTCCGCTGGATATATGGATCGCGACAGACACTTTGCACATATTTCGACACCCTCCGCCATTCCGATGACGCTCTCGTCGAGTCTCTGGGGCTGTTGAATACCGAACAAAGTCGCGAAACTTCGCGTAAACCGGATCAGGCCGGCGTGCCTTAACGAACAACGTCGCGCGAACGAAAACAGAGGTATCCAGGATTACGTGGAAGTTTATCGCGTGAACCGGAAGGGCGGCAGGATTATTGTTGTCGCGGCTTTACGAGGAAAGTTGCGCAATCTAGCTGAAAGACGAATCCGACGGATCGAATGAAATGCAAAGCGTGCTGTCGGGGAACGGCTGAACAAAACCTCTCGTGGGACGAGGATCGAAAAAATCCCGGAAGACAGTTTTCCTTTATTTTTTCTATTCTCGCGAATAGAACGACTGTCGCCAAACCGAGCACGAACGATCGATCCTTGGACAGTTTAAAACTGATACGTGGGACACGGGCTGCAACGATACCCCGGAAATCAGAACCGGCGACAGTAAAGATAACAGAGCAACGACGCGTGCCTTGAAACTCGCGAGACTCGACAGCGCCAAGTTTAGGGACTTTGTTAATCCGGAACCATCGCGTTTCATAGACCGAATTACATTTTGACGCGCTCAGACAATTGCAAACAACGTAACTTGAAACTCCTCTTGGCACTTATTTTCGTAACGTTGTTAAAATTTCAGAATTCTTTCAATATTAATTAATTTTTTGTCGTTTTACGTCGAAGAAGAGGCGCGTAATGGCGTCGAACGTCAGTCGTCGAGTTTCGGGCGAAATTTCATGATGGAAGTCTATCTGTTTACGGTGGTCCATCCGTACAGACAATACGTTCGGTCGAGTAGAATTGATTTTTCTTCTTCTGGTTTCTTCGGGTCTTTTCGCCGCAGCCCAATTTATTAAGTTCTCGGCTCTTTGTGGATGCGGAAGAAAGGGAACAGGTTCGAACGGCGCGCCGCGCTGAAAGGAAAGTAAAGCAACTCTGCCTTTGTATTGTTTAAAACATTACCCTTCTGACCGGTGGCTGTGAAACGAAAATAGAAAAAAAATTGCTCGAACCGAGCGAGGAGCCGTGAATTTCCATCGAAAATACTCTGGATTACTATCGACCCCTTGGGTATCTTAAATTTAATTGGCTACAAGACACAATTACTATAAACAGAGCTAACGTAGATCAATTTTAATTACATTTATCTATCCCGAACTAATATTTTAAATATTTTCGCGAGTGTATCCTGTGGAAGTAGAGCTTGTACAAAGCGTAGGAACACTGAGAACTGCAGAACCATTGGATTTAACCGTTGCATTAATATTTATCGCGTTTATAAACTCAGAGGAGTTCGAAAAAAAGGGAGAGCACGCGTAATTAATCGTCGGAGTTCCCGGTGGCTTATTATCGTCTGTTCGGGTACTGGATCTCGAAATGTTCGTAACAGGAATCGCGCTGCAAAGCAGAAAAGTTTCGCGGGGTGGCGGTTAAATCGAAAGCAAGCTCGGATAAATCGGATACAGCGAGAGATACATTACCCGGTAGACTGCTCTGGATTATGTGTTGCCCTGGAAAAACAGCGCGCTAGGAGAGCAGTATTTGTTCTGCTGTAATCTTCCACCGAGTCAGTGGAAAGCTGTTGATGACATCTGACACTGATTTTTCCTGCGGCCACCACACACACGCTCGCTCTATTTTTTCGCTCGCTAATTCAACCGCTTCGATCTCTATTCCCGTTCGCTCGTTTGCTAAACGAGTAACGCAATTTTGGTCGTGTCGACTTCCAAAATGGACGAAACATAAAAATCGACGGTGTCCATTTTTCCACGATATCAATACTTTCATACGTTCGCTCGATTTTAATTCCATTTCGAAAACACGCACTACAGAGATTAACTATCGATCGCCAGAACGATGATAAATTTTATTCGTTGTTCGAGCGAATGAATCTCTTTGGCAAGAGTTTTCGGTGAAGAGAAACAATAAAAATAAAAAAAAAAAAAAAAAAAAACAGCGAAAAGTAGGTCGAGAGCGCGTCAGAACCATCCGTATCGAGTCGCGGGTTGGGAGAAAATTTGTGTCCCATGGCACGACTGTCGCGACGAACGACAAAATGTCGCGATGGGCGACGGGGATCGCGTATCCTTCGATCGGGCGAGAAAAACGCGAGTTCAACAAGTTGACCGCCCAGAAGCGTACGCCGAATAAAATGTGAAATCCATTGACGGAGCGTTGATCCCCATTAATTCGCCGTGTAATTTACAAGGCTCGAACGCGTCGCGTAAATGGACGCCAGTTTTCGAAACGAGCGCGAATAAACTCTGCGGACAGCGTAAGGTTGATTTATTTCGACCGATAAACGCACAGATCCTACCAAACGTCACTACTAACTATCTTTAAATTCTAAAATAAAAATATACAAGCACACGATTTTATTTATAGTTTTAATAAGCAAAATAGAAGTGAATTTTCACGGATGCACGCCATCGAGAAACGCTTTTATTTTCGTCCGGTTGGAAATAGTACGGTTTAAGAAAGTATCGAACGCGGTTTAATGTAATCTACGTCAGTCTGAATATTCTCTTTCGAGGTATCGCGTTTCGCGCGTTCGTCGTCACCGAATGGAATCGATTTCGAATTCGTTCGCGGCATTACTTCGCTCGTTCGCATTATGTAGATGACCGCGTGCACGCAATTCCCAGCGAAATATCCGACTTGATGGGAAAGTTTTGTATTTTTCGCTCGATTTACCGCCGTCGAATTTCCACAGCCGTGAAAATTTGTTTCGACGAACTGCTGTTGTACGCTTAAGCCCACCGTGTTTGTTTTACTGTTTCCAATTCGCGTGTTCTTCGTACGGAAAGGATCGTGTTTCGCGATCGTTAAAAAATTATAATCGAAATCTGTGTAGTTATTGTTTAAGACTGTACACAAAATTTCAGTTCGATTATTCTCGGTCGATAGGCGGTTCTTTATGTTCCATTTACTTCGAATCAGTAAAAGGGAAAATGGTTTTAAGAGTTTCGATTCGAAGCTCGGAATTCCACGGGCCATTTACTTTTAAGGGGCGACATACATTTTCAGATGCCATCAGTACATTAAACAAACTCGGTTTTATGTAAATTCGGGAACCCCCCCATAAAGGCTCGAATGGCCTGACTGGGGGATCCGTCCGCGATAAAATCTGATTAGAACTGCGGAAATTCATTTTCGTGTTCTATGAATAATTGCTGTGTTATATTTGCATTAGTAATTTGTTTGCATGGATGCTTTCCAGAGACGATGAATTCTCGAGATTATTTCCTTCGTAAATGGTAGAAAGTTAAAATTTATTCCCAACGATTTCCAGTGAAGAAGGTATGTCTGACCATATACGGACCATTATCACTTAAAATGCAATTTTCCTTTCTTTATCGCGTCTTCCAGGTTTTGTTGCTCCGCGAAAGGCTTTTAAATTTATAGAAATAACTTGCAAGGCAATTTCGGTACTGTTAAATCGCATTACACGATGCATAGTTAAGCCAGAACAATCGAGGGAGATCCAGAAACCGCGGCGTATTTCAACGGAACGTTTCAACGGCTCCGAGAAAACAATTTTCCCCGAGAAACGGCAGGATCCACGTATCGTTTCGCGGATCCAGAGGAAGCGTCGCGGTCCCCGTAACCACGGGCGGCTCGTTTCAGAGCTAAATCATCGGATTCCCTCAGAATTTCTCCGTTGTCGTAGCATCCCATCGCGAATCTATGAGCCACTACACGAGAGACGGATGTTTGTCTCCGCGTTCGATTTTTAACAAATCTCCCGTCAAACCAGAGCATATTTCAATCGGAAGTTTCAATCAGAAAGCATCGTTCTTTCCGCCACGGAATACGAAAACAGAAATAAATCTTCCGACGAATTTAATAAGAAAAACGGATGGAACGAAAGCGCGTCCAAATTTTAGTTTTAGAAAGGAGGAAATATGACGGTTAATTTGAAAGGACCGTGACCAGGCGATAACTCTGAAAAACTATCGCAAAAAGACCCTCTTTAGCTGCGGGGACGAAAATCCTGGCACGATACCCGTCAGTTTTGCATCAACGCGGTAATTTATGGCGGCATCGGTGTCTTACCAGCTACGAAAAAGCCTCGTAATTCCTTTCGCGGCAATTTCACCGGCCACGAAGGTCCGCAATTTATCCAGCGGTCCTTCCCCTTCCGATGCAGAGCCTTCCTGGTTCATTTTTCACCCCGCGGCTCGTTTTTGGCCGACTTTTGCCCGCTTATCTCTTTCCCTCTAGCCCGGGGTAATTAGAAATATTTCGTTCATTCTGAAAATAATTCGCCTTTTCCGAAAAATTGCGTTTCTCGCGTTCTTTTACAAAGGACGACGAAAAAATTAAAGTTCCGTTAGAAAATTCTATCCGTCGATTTTGTTTCTCGAATTGAAATTCACCGAAAAATGGAAACACAGAGGGACTTCGTTTTAAAAGTGCATACCGTTGGACGGTATCAAAAATTCATCCCATCCGAGGGGATATATTTCGATGGAATTTCGTCGCGTAAAATTACTACTTCTGCTGTCCATTGTGCGTTGTAATTAACTGTCAAGGAACCCGGGAATATTTAGCAGCGTGCTTCAGAAGTCGAGGCGAAATTAAAAATACACGTCGCACCTTTCTCTATTTTCAAACCGTTGCTTTGATCTACGTCTCTGTTTCTCCTTTTCAATTTTTTCCCCACCCGTTTTAGACGCACGTTTGCGCGAAACTGGCGCTCGACGGTGACGCTAAAAAATTGTTTCAGCCCTCCGACAAAGTAGAAATTCACGTCGTGCGTCGTCATTTAAGAGACGTTATTAACATCCAAATAATTTCTAACTCCCCGTGGAGTACCTAAACGTGTACACGTGGAAAATAAATCCACGTTTCTCTAAAGTTTACGAAAATTTCGCACCCCCTCCGGTCTGAATGCCATCGATCCGATTTCTCGAACCCTCGACCAACGGCCTGGCGCGCCCCGTCTCCTCCAATGACGACCAGCATCACCTTTTCACGAGCACTTTTATCTAACCCTCTGGACTCTTCTTTTTCCTCTTCATTTCTTTCAACTCGTTTCATCCCCTGTCTGTAGCATGCAGATGCAGCGTTGCCGGCTACCGCGAGGCAGAGGGTGCCCGTCGAGAAAATACGGTGCCTCGAAATCGTCTTCGCGCCATCGTTGCACATTTCCCGATTTTCCAAGAATACATTTACATCGAAACGCTGCTTTTCGAGCAGCTCGCGACGGCGCAGGGTAACTTTGGGTTGGGTTCTTTGAGTATGACGGATACCAGTCCTTCGGATCGCACAAGTATAATAGAATATGCCTGTGGCTGGACAAATGGGGAAGGGGCCTGTCCCTCATCAGCCAAGTTGGAACACGTCCTGTCTCTGGTTAGACAAGTAGAATAGGGTCTGCGTATGTGTGTGTGTGGCAAGATAAGTGAAATAGGGCTCGACAGGAAACGCTAGTGGAACAGTGCCTGTCATGGTCCAGACAAATAGAATGGGGAGAGATTATCGAACGTTCTCTATTTACACCCCTAAAGCATCGTTGCAGGCATCAATTTTCTTTATTAACCCCTTGCTCGTTCGACGAGTTTTACTTGTCACAAGTTTCACAATCATGAGGCTACCCATCATCGAGTCTTGTGTATTAAAATCAACACAATCTATTCTTCCTCGTGGGCAAATCGTACGTCAAAGGGTTAAGTAGTACACTGGTATTTAAGATACTATGGGATTGAAATAATGTCAACAATCTTTTCACCACTTTTAACCCACATCGTGGTATAATTAGGGTTAGAAATGGTACACTTTATATCAGACAAGTGAAAGGAAGCTATACATGGTCAACCAAGTGGAAGGAGTCATATATGATCAGGCAAGTGAACCGAGTCTCCCGATTGATTAGACAAGTGAAAAGAGCTACACCTAGCCAGACTAGTGAAAGGGGGCCATTATAGTCAGACAAACAGAACAGAAATTTCTGACAATCAAAGAGCCTGGAACCAACGAACAATAAAAATTTATAAACGCATCGAACGTTGCCAAGTTGGCGGAGTAGTCGTCTAAAACACACTGACGAAGGAGTCGCTTTAATAATGCAGATATCCACGGGGCGAACAGTATTTATCTTTATCGTCCGGCTTAACCCCAGCGCAAAACAAGCCGCAACCGTAAATTCATTGGTCGCGTCCGTTAACGTGTTCTCGGTGTAATTAAGTTCCGCAAATATATCGTCGAATTACGCAAAAACAGGGGGGAAACGTAATCGCGGGTCAAGGGAAGAGCCGGGGGTCGAGTTAATCCTTGAGACGGTCCCGATTTGCATCGATACGGCGCCCGTTGGAAAATATAAACCCGCGGTTCACGGAGTACCTACGGCCGTCTTCTCATTCCGTTCCGTTTTCCCGTTTCAGACACTCGGATGCGTTACATGGACCCCGAAGGGAGCCTAGTCGGCAACAATAATTGGGTGCTCGGAGACTTGAGGAGCCTCCATCGCAGCGTGCCGGCTTTTCGTCGGCCAGGTACGACGCTAACGCGTACAGAAATTATGCTACACCTTACCGAACTTAACTAACTCCTATTCCGCGACGAGCGTACCACTTCAAGCTTTGCTAACTCCATTTTGGTACCACCGTTTCTTTCTCTGTTCCGCCGGAGATAATAAAATATACGCTTTAAAACCCCCGCGAAACGGAGAGTCGCGCGATATTCTCGAGTCTAATTTCTCGTTGAAACAAATTTATAACGGGTCTCAAACTACTGAAGATTGAAAGAGATCGTCCATTGTACGGAGGCTCTTTTCACTCGTTCGTTAAGAATTTCCAAGACGCGAAACAGACGAAAATTGTTTGGGATTTAACGACGAATCGCGAAGAGGGATAATCTTTCTCTTCAGGCATAGACGTCGCCGGCATGCGGACGCATTTCTATCCGGAGGGAGGTTGGGGGTGGCTGGTCTGCGCAGCCGGGTTTCTCGCCCTGTTGCTCACCACGGGAATGCAGCTTGCTTTCGGGCTTCTTCACGTTCACGCCGCTCGACACTTCGGCGAGGAACACCACATGGATCTGGGTACGTCTCATTTCTTACGCTCTCGCCTGCCTGCGTTCCCTCTGAACCGACGAAAATCTCTTTCAGGATCATTTCCCGCCAAATCGATCGCCCCTTCCTATCCCGACCTCGAGGATTTCCTCGAAATTCAGACACGAAGTTCCGCGAAAAATTTGACGGAACTTTACGAGTCGCCATTTGTTTCAATTTCTCATCTCGTGCATGCATAACACCCACAATTACAGTAATATTTCACCTTTCGTACGTTTTTACAAAATTGCAATTGCTGGCTAAAGTCTCTCGAAATGGAAAATATCAATGTCGGTGTAAAATGGTGATATTTATCGCCCTGTGTTTCCCAAACTAGTCGAGAACCAGCAAAGCGATGACTTAAACTTGCCCCAATTTTGCGCGAAACAACGTTACGTTTGAATTTCGACGAGAATGATCGATTTGGCGCGGAATAACTCTTCAGCGACTTCCGCTAACAAGATTCTCGGTGCTCCTCGTCGAGCAATGTTTCACCGCCCGCTGGTTTTAACAGAGATTAGAGAATTCGCCGGTTCTGGCACCGGCGAAATAAATTCACGTTTAACAAATCATCTTTTTTCGCGATTTTTTAAATTTCCAACGATACGAGCTTGCACGCTTCAAAGAAATTCTGTATAATTTGGTAATTTGATTACGAATACTTATTCGCGACATAAATAATTTGAAAATGCCAAACACGTTTACCGTTTAAATTCTATCGGAGAACACGAACTTATGGGATAAGCCTGATATATTCCATAGAAAACCATAGCAGCTATTGTTCGAAGCGTTTCTTTGCAAAGTAAAAGAGGCGTGCTTAATTTTCCCGGGGCCTCTCTTTAACTCCCACTCGCGGGAATCTCTTTAAATCTAGCGGATTTTTCGCTTGCTTATTTCGAACGGATTATTTTGTCAAAACGCCGTGGGAAATAAAGCTTCGCGTCCCGTCGAAGAAAAGCTCGAGCTTTTGTACGCTCCAGCGATATTCTCGCGCCTGGCAAAGAGGTGGGATCCCTTCGTTGCGGAATAGTTTAAATGTACGAAACGTCGCGCGAAAATCGTGGCCGACGAAAAAGATTTATTTGCACGGAATCGCGGCGCGCATTTTTCCCGCGGCCGTTATTTAATAATAGATGCGAGACGGAATTTAAAATAATCTTTTATTATTGTTTTCTTTTTTCTAACGGGATCGGGAGAGCAATCAAGCGAGAAACGAACGTGACGTGAATTTCATCCGCCCGTTGGAAGGGCTGTCTTGCAAGGAACCCTCAAATATCTCTGAGATCTTTGGAACATTCCTGAAACCAGCGCCCAACGATCGGGAATCGTCGATGTTTGTTGATTACTTTGCGCCGCAATTTTTTACACCGTTGTGACAATATTTGTTGAAGAAATATCGAGAGTTCGGGGTAGAAAAAAAAAAATACTTAAAACAAACTGGAGGCATTCAAAGTTCGTGAATTCGCGAAAAAATACACATCGGTGTTTATCTTCGATGGATTGCTTGAACTAATAATGGAAATTTAGAAAGTATGAGACGTCAACGTAAAATTAATATTTTTGGAAAATATAAGAGACTGAAAATTCACTGTTGGTAGATCGTAAATTGAATAATTTCGTGCTGATCTACGTCGAGGTACGTTATTAAATTATAAAAAGGAAATAAAAATTCGAACGCGTGCAAACAAGGGTGCAGAAATTTGCACTTTTATAATTACCGTTGATCGAAGGAAGCAGGATGCGAAGTGAAACAACGAAACGCGGCGAAGTTCTGGCAACATTTACATTTTGTCGGCAAACAAAGTTGTGAAAGGTTCAGAAACCTGTCTCGACGAAGCCGGATCGATAGATCACGAGGAAAGGTTAAAATTTTGCGAAGGAATTTTCCCTAGCAAACTGTTCGAGGTATGCCAACCTCTTCGCGATGCTTCAAAGATGATACTTCACTCTTGTGAAACACGGTTAAAGTGCCTAAGTGTCTGAAAGAGGCTCGATAAATCAATTCAAATTCAAGGCACAGGAACATGATGGATGAACGTGCTTTCGCGACACTAAACTTCAGTTTCTTTCATGTATAGGATCCAGCGATACCCCTAAATCTCTACTCTGAGATCTCGCGTTTAACTAAATTTTAGTCTGATGTGAACATGCATAAACATAGTCTAATCGAATCGAGCCACAGAACAGCCATCGATGCTTTATATTTAATCATAAAAGATTCTTAGGATAATAAATATTTTTTGTTATAATTTCCAGCAATGCTATTTGTTCAAAAAACAGCTACGATAAATAAAATATTCCATAGCGATGTTTTCACGTAATATTGTTGCTTGGATTAAAATGAAATATTTGCAACTTTACGGATCAGCTATTTTAAGCAATTTAAACAAATGTTTCGTCACACAACTGAAAATTAAATTATTATTACCGTGAATTAATTTGTGTGCTTGAACCGCATTTTAATGACGCGAACGATCATCGTGAAATCAAAAACAATTAATTTAAATAATAAATTTCAAACGTTATATCATCACGTATACGTGTAATTTTCGGAAAATAAACATGCAGTTTCCGTTGCTGAAAATTACTTCTCTTCAACGGTGAAACGTACAGCACGATTTTATTACTTTCTACCGCCCGAAGCTTTTCAACGAAACGTTATACAGAAGGGAAAACGCTTACGACAACTACGCAAGAAGAATATTTTATAAACAAATCACGCGATGTTTCGTAAAAATGAAACGCAAGACAAGCAGGATATTCCGAGTATGTATTTCTCTTATTCCAATCACGTTGACTAGAATTTATGGAGAACAGATTCTAAAACAATACCGAATATTCAACTTGAATTTAAAATATTAATAATATTCATGGTGAGAATTCAGCTATGGGGAATTATCTATCAAACGTGTTTGTTCGCCAATAGTAAACTAAACGGTTAAAAAAAATTCAGGCCAAAGAGAAACAGAAGTTGGAGAAACTAAGTAGAAACATCGAGCATTGGTCAGACGCGTTCGCCAAGCGGTGACTCGGTTCTACTTGTATTCGATTAATATTCCAAATCCAAGTATTTCGGATACTAATGAAATATTCTAGCGGTCCCAGGCCTGCCTCGAAACGAATGAAAAATTAGCAGAGCGCTGATTTACGAACGGTATCCTCGAAAAAAATCAAATGTTGATCAACTGCACTCGTAAATCAGCATTCGTTGCAGTTTCTTTCGAGGCGGGGCATAAATTTGGTGGAAACGGCTGCAGGCTGGGGAAGTTTTCGACGACAGGGTGTGTACGGTAAATTTAACACGTCCATTAGGGTGGTCCGCGATCGAAACGTCGGGGGAACGGGAGTATTAAGGTCGTACGATGAGAGTGGCTCGAAAAAGGCCGACCGCGGGGGCCTACGGGGGTGGCTTTTTCTCGATAATGTATGAAATACGGAAGTCCTCGATAAGTCGAGGTTTATTTAAAGGCGGTGGAAAAATAATGGCCGCCGAGAGACCACGCGGAACATTCTGATAGGACTTCCACCGGCGCTGACAGCTGATAGATACTGGAAGGCGAAGAGCTTATCGTTGACCTACTCTACTTAGTTATCTAATATACATCGTACCGGCTACGAGTTGAAAAGTCCGATCGATCGGTATATTTACGTGGTTTCCGCGTCCGTGGACCGCCGCGTAATTTATGGGGGGGAGTTTGGGTTACGTAAAAATTACGATATTTTCAATATTGAGTCGACCCTGAGGCAATTTATCGCGACGCCGTGCCATCAATCTTCAACGCGCGACGCGACGAAGTCGTATTTTAAATATTTCGTAGAAATCTCGCGGAGTCGTTCGAGTCGATGAATTATGGGGTTTCGTTTATTTTATTTATTTACACGCGTCCGCAGTCTATCGCGAAATAAATCCTACCCACGATTTCATTCTTTTTTACAGTACATCGATCCTTTATTTTGGGTCTTCCGTAAAAAAGAAACAACCAGAGAATTTCTAGAAAAATAAACTTCGCGCCAGCTTGTTGCCTCCGAAATTTAAAAGACGAGAAAGCCTCGAACGACCAAGAACTTTATTAAAAAACAGTTTCGATTCCATTCAATTACGAAGTTTCCACGAGTGCACGACCTCGCCATAATCGCGAACACACGTTTCTGGCGTGGCGCGTGTGTACAATATTTCCCGTTAAGCGCACACGAACCTTCGGGTTAGTCAAACTGCCAATATTTACCGAAGTTTGACCGAAAATTTGGTAGTACTTGGAGCGCTGCACGCGATCGGTTTCGGGTCGACGTTTTCAACAGACTTCGGAGGTACGTTCGTCAAATTTCGACGAGTAGTTTCGTCGCTTTAATTGGCGCAATTAATTGCCTTTAATGAGTAATTACTTCGCCCCGAGTATCGCGTTCTGTTTCGCTCGGTTGGCTCGCGTTTGTAAATTAAAAATCCACCGTAACGAGGTAATGCACTGTAATCGTTGTTCATGGATATTCGTAATATCAAACGAATTTGTCGCGCAAGACGAACACAAAATGATAACAATTGTAATGAATTCTGGATAAATCGATATGTACTTGTTCGTAAATACAAAATCTTCGAAAAGATACATGAATTCCTCAGCTTCTAACTCGTAAATTGTACAATCTGTGACCAAAGGGGTCGATGTTTATTTTTAATTCGCTAAAGGTCACTAACCCCTTTACGCAGCGAACAAATGTCACGACCAATTGCGTTTGCAACGTTCTGATGCCCGATTAACGAATCCTGACCAAAGGGACAACCCTCCAGGACGTTTGCGACGCAAAAAATGGCGGACAAAGGTCGTTTATAAAACAGGAATATCAACAGTTCGTCGTTGAAAAATGTCACCGGGTTAATTTTTCCTGCAAAGCCTTCCTGCGATCCATCGATTGTTTCACACTCGCTTAGACTTTATCGAAAGTTTTCCCGGAAAGGGTATCGAACCGTAAGTCGAAGGATATGCATCGAACAAACT